CAGGTCCTCAGGCTTGCTGGCCTTGTGTTGTTGAAGAGGCAGAGTACTGATGGGATTGTATATACAAAGAGCATCATTTCATTCGCAGATTTTCGTACAAATCTGAAAACGCTGTCTTTCATAGTCTTCGTCTTTAAGCCATGGGAACTTTTAGATTTGAACATAGTACCTGTGCACTTCATTTGACAGCTTTCGAAAACCCATGACCAGGAATTCAGGAGGTTCTAAGGAATCAGCGTAGCGAAGGGTGTGGACCAGATGTCCAGAACTACCAAAAACAATCCTGTTGATTATGCAGACAAAAATCTTCTGGTTGTTGGGGCTGGTTGATTGGCTTCACCTAGTTTTTAAATTTTTCTCTTTCAAGTAATGACAGAAGAAATTTAACATAGTAAGAGCTCACAGATGGAGGTAGAGAAAAAGGAAGCATTGGCCTAGAACTAAACAAAGAAATGATATTAGGAAAATGTAATGTTAAAAGTCTTTGTTTCCCATAACTATACCAGTACGTTTCCATAAGAGCAAAGTCCTGTGCAGTAGGCTGGACCTCAGCTGAGGTGTCTCGGGTGCTCCTTGTAGGTGGTGTTTCGCATTAGTGCTGTATGACTAGCCGGTGTGCAGCACAAAGGCCTGTGGGTGAGTCCAGAAGTCAGCGTGCAGACACCACCAGAAGACACCAGACTCATCTTGTGTTTAAGTTTGGTTGCTGTGTGTTTAGAAGCTCTTATTTTACCCACATCCTGTTGTGCAATCCAGCATGGGTCACGATGCTCAGGGCAAGCAGTGATGAGGAACAGAGACTGGGAACCAAAGTATCCGAGAGGGGCAGAGGTGAGTGCTGAGGTCTCAGCTGGTTTGACTGTCTGGGCCCCCAGTGTCTTCATTTTTAAAGTGAAAGTAACAATAGTACCAGATAGGGCTGGAGTGAGGATTTCTTGACATAATACACAAAAGCCTCTCTTCATCCTTGGTGTTAGTGAGCCCTTGGGAAATTATTTCTGGTTGAAAGTGGTGAGCCAGTGCCTTGCTGCAGCCTGTTAGTATACAGGCACTGCAGGCTACACTGGTGTGCCTTGGTTTACTTATCCTTTATGTTTATTCCAGCACTCCATAAACTAAATTCTCATTGCTTTGATGACATTATGAATGTGTATCCTAAGTTAACCTATTAACCCTCATGAAGTTACTTCATAATTCTAATGAATTATTTGTTCAAAACAAATTTGCCTCTTAACTCATTAGAAATAGTATTTCTTTAATTGTATAATCCATAGGTGAGAATATATGTGATTTTTTTAACTGAAAAGTTGATTAAGACAAGATTTTGGCGAGCATGTTGGTACCTGAGACTATTTGTGAAATTTTCCTTTAGGACTTTCAAATGATATAACCTCAGCACAGGTGAAGAAGATGGCTCATCAGGTGAGAGGACTTGCTTCTTCAGATAACCTGAATTCAGTTCCCAGAACCCACAGCATCCACCGGCTCACGCCGGCCGGTAATTCCAGTTCCAGGGTATCAGACACCTTGTTCTGGCCACCTGGGGCACTTGCACATATATAAATAAAACTAAAGAAGTAACCTCACTACATTTTTGTTGAAATAAACAATTAAATTAAGCGCATAGAGGTATAAAACTTACATCGTGGACTGGTGGACAGTTGGTTCAAGAAAGTGCTTATGTTTGATATGCAGAGCCCATGAGACAAACAGCAGGGTACAGTGATTTGCACTCCCAGCACGGAGAGGTGGAACCAAACACATCTCTGGGATCGCTGAGCACAGCTCAGCCTGCTTGGCAAGTTCTAGAGCAGTGAGAGACCCTGTTTCAAACTAAGGCAGATGGCCCCTGATGGTTGTCCTCTGACCTCAACATGCATGTGCTCATGTGTGCATGTGCACCCTCACACACATACACCCACAGGTGTACAAACACATGCACGATCTCAAGTTACATTGGAAAACTTGGACATTTCACTCATAAGCATCACAGATTTAAGTGAAAAGACAGAGACACAGAGAAACTGCTTTGCTTGCAGTCCTTATCAGCCTGTTTTGCTGTGCTGTATAACTTGAACAAATTAGAGAAAAAATAATGATGATAGGAGCCAAGGTTCCGAGGCACACAGATGTGGAGAGCTCTGCCGGGGTGAAAGGAGCTACTCTGTAGAAAGTACTTCGATAACGGCTCTGGGAAGCAAAGAAACACTGAAAAGGCAGCGCCTTCTCCAAGGCAGCTTGAGTTGCCATCTGTGCAAAGACCCTCCTCACACTGACCTTCAAAGGGGTTGGTGAGGAAATTTTTACATTTCTAATGTGTTTTTGGAAAATCTATACTTAATGTGGCTTTAAAAATGTAATGTTGAACTTTTAAAAAAACTTCCCACACCAAACCATCTACAATCCTTTCTATGAAACACATAGCCACATCTATCTATGTTATTTATTCAGTTTATGGCTTGTCTCCACTTTATCATAATAAAGGAAATTTTGAAAACAAACAGAAAACTCGTAGCCCACAGCTCTGACCCCAACACTGACTCTAAATACAGCATTGCCATTTCCCATACTATTAAAGTGTCTCTAGTTGTTTTTAGTCTCCTGGTGTTTTAAGTCGTTTTCCCCACATGCTGCCCACTCCTCAAGGGTTTCTTACCGTTTTTCCCTGATCAGAGCAATCCGGCACTGGACGCTTTTATCTGGCACATGCCTCCTTCTGCCCTGTGTAGCCCCTACGGGTGTAGCTGCCCTCCTTTGTAGCTTCACAAGTATAATCTCTAGCAACAAGCTGACCCATTGTCCCTCTTCCCTCCATCAGTGTGATTTTCCCCCCGGGTGATATCTTATTTCCATAATCTTGTTCCGTTCTTCAGCACCTTGTATTTTTAATAGTAATCTATTTGGTCTGTTACAAAGCAATACAAAATTTAGATTATTAACTGCCATTTTTTTGTAAGTGTTTTGTACCCAATCAGTAATCGCCGGTGAGTTCCTTCATTTAATTCACTGTTATAGCTGATTTCTTTGCTGAATAGTTTTCAGTTATTTGACTTGCGATAATTTTCTTATTTCTTACTTTAATTTTATTATTAATTGATAAATAATAGCATGTTGTGTTGTGTAATTGATAGCTTTATATATGTATGCATTGAGAAGTGACCAAGCCAGTCTAATTAGCATATCCTCACCACAAATGCTTACCCTTAGCGAGGAGACCACATCAGTCCACTCTTGGCTCCTTAAAATAGTTAACATATTACTAATAATTGCCACCATGCTGTGCAATATATCATGGAGTAGCAGATTCCCTTTAAAAATAACTTTTGGTGGAGTGAATGTCACACCATGATGATAAACGGGAAAGGAAATGATGCCTCAAATATAGTTACTTATTAGAATCATCATTTTGAAAAATCACATTCATTTACATGAGGGCCTCTCTAAAGACTGCTAGTCATATATTATTTAAATTTTCATGCCTGAATATTTCCTTGGACTTTCTGAATGGCTATAACTTGTAGTATTAATTTATCTGTCTTAGATCACACTTTTATATTAGAATGTTTAAAAGTAATTATTATTAAATGTCAGTTGACATGTATATTTTACATCTACAGACTGCCCCTTGTAGGAATAGGGACTGTTTTAATTTACTCTCCTTATGGAATAAAAGCTACTGATATCTGGATTAGCATGGTAATTGTTATAGAATTTGGCATCACAGACTGCTTTCTAATAAGGCATTTATTTTCTAATGTCACCTTATATTATACACCATGTTATATCTAGTTAATCTACTTACCTTTCTATTCTTTTACATTTTATGCACATTGTCATGATTATTGCTAATGTTCTTTTCTGGCATGTTTACCTTAGAATTCCATTGTCTCACATCTAGGGAGACAGCTCAGCTGGTAGAGGTGCTTGTCACCAGAACCTGATGACCTGAGTTTGCTCTAAGACCCACATGGCGGAAAGAGTTTGTCCTCTGACACACACCCACATGTATACACTTTAAATAAATAAATAGAAGTTCATTCCTGCACTAAAGAGAAACAGTATATAACATGGAAGATTTTTAAATATGGGATTTTCAGGGCTGTGACATGGCTTCGTGGGTAAAGACACCTGCCACTGAGTATGGTGATCTGAGTTTGATCACCGAGTATGGTGATCTGAGCTTGACCTCAGGAACCCAGATGGTAAAAGGAGAACCAGCTCCCAAAAGTTACCCTCTGACTGCCACACATGTGCCCACAAACAAACACACACACACACACACACACACACACACGCACACACACACACACACACACACACAAATAAACAGATGGCATGAAACTAGAATTTTCTTTTCTTTCATTTTGTTTATGAAACAGATTCTTTGCCTGGCCTGAAACTCAGAGAAATCCACCTGTCTTTGCCTCCATGTGCTAAGATTATTTTTTAAAGTAAATACGTGTGTATATGGTCCCATCAGAATGAACCTTGCAGCTCATGTGACATTTCTGAAGTCAAGTCTCTGGTGTAAATGTACTTATATATGCTGCAGAATGTTTTATCTGTATTGTTTGCTACTACACATAATTTAACATTTTGGATCAGTCAACCTTTCCATGTTCCTTATTTTATTAAATACTCTGCTCATATTTAGCCTTTTTTTCCTTTCAATGTCCCCTCACTTCAAGCACATAAACAAGGCATCTCTTAGAAAGCCATCTTTCCCATCTGTGGTGCAGGCCTGAAATCCCAGGAACATGGGCGATGAGACACAGAGGATTCCACTTTCAATGCCTGTTTGGGCTACAGGGAAGCTTCAAGACCAACCTGAGTAACTTCTGAGACCCTGTCTTAAAATAAGAATTAAGAGCAGACTGGACACAGCTTTTTGGTAGAGTATTTATCTAGAGCATGCACAGCACTCCAGGTTCAAACTCCAGCTGGGACCAAGGTGCATCTTCCAACTAATTGAAATTCAGTGCTCAAAATTCAAAATATTAATTGCTTCCTGGCCTTTTAGCAAAGATCAAGCACAGTATCTATTTAATAAGTTTAATGTCTTCTACAGGCTCTCTTTAAGGACTATATAAGTGACTTTTTGGAACAAAGAGATGGAATGGAGGTTTGCTCCATCAATTCTGTACACCACTTATTACAATACCTCCAGGAATGGTACAACCCTTCTGAGGACTATATTATCTTAATTTCTCAAATATTAAAATAATAATTCAAAATACATTTGCCTATTATTAAATCCTTTCCTTTGGCAGAATATTTAGTGATAACACAAACATGTTTACCTTTAATTTGTATTTGGCACAGATACCTAAGAAGGGACACCATATTTAGTTCTCATATCTTAATAATTGTATGCAAGACTGGGTAGTGATGGCATATGCCTTTAATCCCAGCACTTGGGAAGCAGAGGTCAGCCTGGTCTACAGAGGGAGTTCCAGGACAGCCAGGACTACACAGAGAAACCCTGTCTCAAAAAATAAATAAATAAATAAAACAAAAAACCAAAAGAATTGTATTAGATAGATGACATAGAAATATGAAACTTATTGTGATTCTCTTAATATTAAGATTTGTACCAAAGTCAACCTACATCAGCTCTCTGGAGAGTCATGCTAATAAAAACTGCTGTTATATATACTTTATGGGCATTTTAACATGTTTACCTAGGGCATAGAGAGATGACTCAATAGTTAAGAGCACTTACTGCTCTTGCAAAGGACCTGAGTTTAGTTCTAAGCCCACAGCCATCTGTAACTCTAGTTCCCTGGTTTCTGACACCCTTTTCTGGCCTCCATGGGCATTTACACATGGTACATATACATACACAGACAATGCACTCGTACGCATAAAAAAAGTAACAAATCTTAAAAATGTATGTCTGTTTTATGGAGTTAAATTGCTATTTAGCAGAAATTTGAAATGAATTCCTAATATGCCATTTTGTTAAGCTGAATTAAAACTAGTTTAAAGTTAAGGAATCATTGAAAACCCGATTGTGAACTTTGGTCCTTATCATGACTTCATCTTCCCTAGCAACACCTAATATTTTATATTTATCCACATATCGGAAAAAAAGCAAACATTTTCACCATTTACGTTAGCACAAAGCCTGGAGATATGTAGCGTTGATTCAAGCTTTTCCTGCTTGGGTTGATTGGCCATGCTGTTGTCAGCAGACCTGTTGGTGAGGTGGTAAATACATTCTCTAGGACAACATGCCGCTTATCCAAGGATTCTCTGTGGCTTCTGAGAGAAAAGCCTATGGTGTGCTCAAACTTTGAGGGCTCCAGGCAATTATCCAACATTCCTACTCATCATGCATGACAAATGTCTTGCCCTATGGTAGGAATTTGCAGCCTTCCCACATCTTTCAGTAGGAACTGCCACCGTATTCTTACACACAGGCGTCCCAGCACACATCTCCTATGAACTCAGCTTACCAGCCACAGCAGAGGCAGTTTCAATCGTCAGAGTGAAAGCGAGGGAACACAGGGCAGGGGCAGTTGTTAAAACCTGGTTGGTGTATTCCTGTCAGTGACGCCCTTTGCCACCTGGACTTTCAGAAATGGTCTCATACTTTCTTTTCCCCTTTAAAGCAAGTATTATTTTATTTTTATTTATTGTTTCAAGTAAATATCTGTTGCTTTTATTTACTGTTGTAGTTTTCCACTAGGATTCACAAGGAAACACATTTTGTAACACTCTTAAACTGCTTATTCTTTAAACATAGATTGTAGTTATTTCAAAATACTTTTCGGGAGTTGGGAGGAAAATATTTCAGTATTGTGGAGGAAATGGATAGCAGAGAAATTTTGTTGAGATCGAAGTGTGCTGTGACTTTCCCAGGACAGCCTCTCAGAGATATGAGGAATAAAATGTTGGTGTCTCCTAATAACCAGATCATTTCCCTCTACAGCTTCATAGGTAGACTGTAATGTTTGGGGCAATTTATAGAAAGCAAATGTGGTCAGTGTGTACCACAGTATTTGCTGAGACAAGAAAGACTTTCGCTTTCCCCTCTCCAATTCCTCCCTCCTTCTGCCCCCCCCTCCCTCCTTCTGCCTGTCCTCATTGCTGCCTAGAATAATCTCTTACAGATGATTTGACAACAGGTGCCAGGAGAGCAAGGCAAGCTGGCTTTGTGTCACATGCATGCAGTGGAGATCCAGTGTCACCCCAGGTTTTGGTGTATCGCCGTGTCCTTCCAAAGAAAGGGATAACCCAGTTGAAATACATACTGCAGCTCCTGGGGATTAAGTGTTTCCTTTGCTTTATAGTACAGAATTTTACAGTGTCTTTGTTTGGGAGTTCTCAGATTGCTTAATGATTTCTCTAGCCTCCCACCCCACCCACCGTGGCCAGATGTGTATTATAGCAGCATTCAAACCTCTGCAGGTTGGCCAATTTCATTGCACAGCTTATGATATAGCTTTTCTTTATTTAATGATAACATTTAAATGTTTTGTATTTTAGGGAGCCAATTCAGAGCCAAAATGTTGTCCTATTGTTTAATCTCATTACCATGCATAAGAGGCCTATGTAATGCACAGTTGCAGAGAGCTCTGCAAAGATTTTATTAATTATTCAAGTCTTACATCTATGTTAAATCACAACTGGAGTAGTACTAATTTGATCATTTTTCTAATCTTTTAAAGTTGAGGGGGTTTTTTTGGTTTGCAGTCTCTGTTGGTGTCACTAATATTGAGTAGACTTTGGTGCATTTATTTACTTTTCAAAACAGCCTCTAGACTTCACTATTTTAAGAATAGACTTTGAGGGAATTACAGCCTCTTGGCAGCTGTTTGAGTGGAAATTCCTTAGAGCTTTCTTAGAGATTTTAGAAGGCTCTTAACTAACCTTGAACTCCCCCATTGATGAAACATGCTGCGTTGTGAACTCAACTCACCGGCCCCTCTCAGGAGTTCACCTTGTGCTGAAGTAGATATTAGATATGCCCTTGGAAGTGAAGCCAACAGGAAAGGTTGGGATGGGGAAAACGGAGCTCGTTTAGAGGCACAGGAGAATAACCCATTGACAGAAGACATAAACTAACTGTGCTGAAGGAATCATTGATCCTGGAAGCTAGGGGACAGGAGTGCCAGCTCAACCAGGGACACCAGCCATGGCTTAGTAGCATTAGGAGAAGAGGTAACACATGGTGGTGGGATAAGAGTTGGAAAAGGAGTTTGTCCTGTTAGAGGAGTCCAGTGCTCAGTAACAAAGAAGGCCCTGACTAGAGATGAGGTGGAGGAGGAAGAGCACCAGGTGCCTGAGGGCTGGGAGTGATGAAAGACCTCCTCACAGGCCGCAGCACTGGACTTGCATGGAGGTGCAGTGGTGTTGCCAATGAGCAGTGAGGACCCAGTGAACCTTGACAAGTGCCCTGAGGATGGTGACCCCCCCGCCACGTGGCAACTTTTCCCAGTGAAGTGCTTCTATGCAGGCACAGTCCAGAACATGGATCTAGGGAATCTTAATCAGCCCTCTTGTAGGTAAGCAGGTCCCCACAGGCAGGGGCATGGCCTTGCACTGCTGAAAGCCTTTGAAGGGCTGGTGAGTTGCTTAGAAAGCACCACCAAAGAATCCGGAGATGCGATGGCTATGAGAACTTTTCGAGCCATGTTGGAGTATTCACTTCACTCCCTGGGTGGTGGACAGGACAAGGACAAAGGGTTTTATGCTGGGAAAACAACAGCAAAAAACAAACAAACAAAAAAACATGACCAGCTTTGCTTCTAGAAAGATCACTAACTGCTGTATGTAAAACAAAAGGGAGCATGGGGGAGTGTCCTAAAAGAGAGCAGGGCTTGGGGGAGAGTGATGGTAGGAAAGTGGCTAGGAGGGTTGAGTCCATGGAGCATCCTGGGGATGGGATAGTGACTGTGTATGAGATTAGTTTCATCTTCTTATGTGTCTCTGACGTAAGAACAGGCTATTAGTGACTAGGAGTCCCTTAATGCTGGTTTTGTAGTAGATAAGTTTAGTAATTATTTTATTTGGTTAACCAAAAGAGGGGCTATCTAGGTATTGTGTCAATTAGATAGAAATGCTTGGTTTGAGCTTTGAGACAGGGTTTGGTCATGCAGTCAGTCAGTGTAGTTGTAACTGACACCCCTGCAAGACTGGAATTAAAGGTGTGTACCACCACACCTGGCTTGGGTTTATTTTCAGTTACCTTTCTTTTCCCTAAATAGAAAATGCATGGTCTGTATAGACACTGAAAAATAGAAAAGATAAGAGTAATAAATCATCCTCCCTCACTACTTAGAGAGAGGTATTATAAATATTTCCATTTCCTTCCATCTTTTGTCAGAAAGTCGTGTTTACAATTTGCCATTCCCCCTGGCAGGAACAAAAGGTTGCTCTGCAGCAGGGTCTCTGAGAGCTAGCATAGGCTGGGCTTTTTTGCTGCTTTGACTCTAGGACACAGTACTCACCTTTACTATGGGCTAGGTTACCTTTTGTGCCCATTTATTTATTTATCTATCTATTTATTTGTTTGTCTGTTTATTTTGAAGGTGAAGCCTTCAAGAGAGATGGCCCATATGATAACCACTTTTGATAAATGCCAGATTGCCCACATTTGCTATTTCAAATTCTTCTTGGGAAAAAGCTCAGTGGAAATGAGTCTTAGTTTGTTTACTGGAGGTAGACTAGTAATTGGTAACAAGGAGTGAGGGCTGACTAGGCCTCTTACCTGACTTGTAAGAAGAAATGATATGTGGGTCCTGCTGGGCATGGTGCCCCCCTGAACTTTTTTTTTTTAACATCCCTTTTAATCTGGTCCAAGATTGATGGAGATATTATCTCGGGCTGTAAAAAGCTGTGAGCTAGGTTGGAATGACAAACACACATTGACAGCTTTTGAGAAGATGGATGGAGAAACAAGCTCGAAACTCCAGCAGGCTCCAGGGTCTGTTCTTCTGGGGGCCCTCTGGAGGAATGTTGCTCTCACTGTTTAGTGCAAGAGAAGAAAAGCTGTACCTTGTTATCTAGTTGGATATTTTCCTCAGCCAGGCTTACAAACATCTCTAGAATAAAGGTCTCTCTTTTTGTTTGCATAGGATATAATTAATCATAGCCAAATAGTTTATCAGTTGAACCAAGCTGTATTCCTAACTTCTTTTGTGTCTGTGTGATTTCAACTCACAGGGTTCAGGAATAC